ACATAGTCAGAAACCTTTTCGCACGCAATGGCCGTCCGAGTTCGGGCGTTTGTATTGTTCTCGCGCTCAAACGGCGGGAACACGATCCACGAACGCTGCACTCGGAACAGGATCACACACCGCCTAGCCTACCCGTCGGGGTTTTGCAAGAATAATATACTCGTGTCAAAAACAAGACCGTCCGAACTCGGCCAATGAGTGCTTGCTAGTTACGTCTGTCATATTATATTCTAGATTTGTGCTAGTATTTCCCATCACAATGCCAAAATATCTATGTTACAGGTTTTTCAACTTGAAATGATCAAGTTTTAAGATCGAATGCTATGTATTTATCTACATAAAAGTCGATTGGTATGGTTGAACCCTAAATCATTTTTTTTAGTGAACTCTTATCTCAGGGTAACATCTTTTCAACAATACATATAGAAGTGCGTGGCATCTGATAAATCATATGAACTTCTTAAACATCTTTAATAATGTTATGCCTGAAACAAAAAAGGGGATGGGCCGTTAGGATTTATTGGTTGTTTTCATGGAATGGATGTAGCTACAACAAAACATTAATCGATTCTTAAAACAATATTCAAAATAATAAAAACGGTGAGATCTTTTCAGTAACTTGAACCCAATGCTTGCATGCACAGCTGAAACAGATTACAGTTGTAATGATGCCACTAAAAGCTTTAAAGTAGGGAAATAGAAATTAATTGTCTCTTCTTAAAATAGTTGCAAACAGAAAGGTGGTCCTTCAATTTGATGATACTTTTGACTTGTTTGGTGACTACATCGGTGATTACTATTAAGGAATGACTAATGATTAATTTCATGACTATATGTCAAAGGGTTTTGGAATTATGGCTAATTAATTATTCATATGTATGAATGCCAATTCTGCTCGGTGTACACGACGTATATGCGAAAATTCAGTTTTCACGGCGCGTAGCGCCGGAAAATTTTTCGCTACGTGCAAACCCGTGGTCCGATTTTTATTTTTTTGGTATCAAAAGATGCGCAAAGCTTGAGGCTAAAAAGTCATAATAGCTTGGGTCGCGAAAAATTTTTTTTTAGAAGCTATCGCGGAAAATGTTGAGGGGGGGGCGGATTCCGCCCCCCCGGCCCTTTTAGGGTTAACCTTACGTATACATCTTAATGTAGACAATCGATAACCTCGATCTTAAAACTTGATAATTGCAAGTTGGACAAAACTGTAATGACAATATTTTGGCATCCTGATGAGAAATATTAACCGAAATCTAGAAAATGCATGCAATATGAAAGAAGTATCATCTAGCAAACACTCGTTACGTGCTAAAAGGTTTTTTTTTTTCATGCAGAATTTTGGCGTTTTTATCCCAGATTTTCTCATTCCCAAACAAACTGTTGATCGGGGAGCATGTTTTTTTTCAATACGGTACATCATAATCCACATGTCTGGAACGTTTTATAAAATATCTCGAAAACTAAAGAGTTGTTGGCCTCTAGTCCAACGGACTACCAAACGTGTAAAGACGGACCATTGGGAACGGGTCTAGATGAACATCACGTCGTAACTACTGTTATTATCTTTTATTAAGTTAAGAAGTTAGGGAAGCATAAATTCCTAACCCTGTTCGTATCCCTCCTTACGAAACAAACTAGATGGTACATAAGAAACCACATTTGACGATCGTTTTCTAATGATCATGGAATAAAACAGAAACACATGCCCGTCGATACATTGTGATTGTTCTTATCAGGTAGTTTCGCAGAGATGTGGGTTAAGGGGAGACTGTCAATCTTATCGTGATCCCTTCCTGAGTCGTGCCTGGCCAGTTACAAACGTGAATGGGAGTAACAGGTGTTTATTGGAAACTTATAAGGATACAAAGAACATGGAAAAAACAGTGTCAGCCCAGGCATTACTCTCCGAATACAATCTACGTCCACTGATAACTAAAGCCATTGCATATTTGTTGTTTTCCAGATAATTATCGTCGAATTGGGCCACACATTATAAAGAGCGAAATGTCACACTGACTTCACAAAATGAAGCGAACGTCTTCACATCAACAAGATTCTGACGGGCCCGTCAAAACATCACGACAGGCCGTTGGCACTCGGCCTGCTGATGACGCTGGTACTTCTACCAGGCCGTCTACAAGTCAGATCCCCAAAATATCTGGAGTTACATCAAGGGAGGAGGTTGGCACTCAGCCTGCTGATGATGCTGGTACTTCTACCAGGCCGTCTACAAGTCAGATCCCCCAAACATCTGGAGTTACATCAAGGGAGCAGGTTGGCACCCAGCCTGCTGATGATGCTAGTACTTCCACCAGGACGTCTACAAGTTGTACGTTAAAAATTCGTCATTCTTCTTTTGTTTCATTGTAATAAATATTCCGTCATCTTTGTTTTCACACTCTAAAAACTCCCTGGTTAGACTGACCCGTTATCTGCATCCGAATTGACCTAACACTTTTCCGGATAAAAAAATGACATTTTGCTAGGTCATTTCGACACAGATAGTGTCGTTTTTCATACCTGGGAAATTATGTCTAGGGTACATTGTATTTTGGACTCTTCACGCGCAAATATGAATACAGTTCGGAGTAATATATTTTTGTTCTTGTAGCGGAAGTATCAGAGCCGACTCTCTCCGATGTCGCTCGGAGGCTTGGTCACGATTGGAAGGATCTTGCAATACACCTTGGCTTCACATCCGCAGACATCTCAACCTTCGAGGCCGACAGCCCAGGCAATGTCAACTATCAGAGATTCCTGATGCTCGTAGCATGGCGACGAAGGCAGCCCACCATTGGAGGTCAGATGGACGTGTTGTGTGCAGCATTGGCCAGGATCGACAGAAATGACATCGTTACGTGCCTTCAAGGTAAGTCTGGTTTGTTTGTATCATATCAACCATGATTGCTAAACTTACGAACTAATTAACGTACGTACTACGAACTGATTGAAAATTCTAATTCAATTTCCGTAGGAATACGACATTTACTCATAATAGGTATATAAATATTAAGTTTTCTTCAACAAAATGGCAGTCAAGTATGTCTGTAGTAAACGATTTTTCAAATCCAGTCCATCATGCAGTTTGTGGAGTTTTGGTTTCATCTTCGTTTTATATTGCAATCAACTTCACACAGTAGGAAACCAAATATTGTTGTCTGATTTCAATGCGCTGTTGTTTTTAAAATTGTGAGAAAAAAAAACAAAAGGCACTTTTGGATGCTCCAAGACGCTTTGCATTGAACTTTGATCCAGAAAAACTTAAATACATCGTGATAGAAAGTTTTTTTAAAGAGGTATTATCAATGTTTTTCTTGTACTCGTTGTTTTTAATCTCCTATAACGATTGATTTATATGATTTATTATTACGGAAAACTATGATTGTTTTTCCTCGAATAAGGCTTTCATTTTTTCAAAATCAATGAGATCCTCATATTCCACCCCCAATTATACAGGATAAAAAATGATGATAATGAAGGAATGCTTAAGTTCATAAATCTATTCTCAAATAGCCTTACAATTGTGCAGGAAATGCATTGCAGATTTTTTTGTTATTTTTTTAGTGGGGGTGGGAAACCAGGTCACCGGATCCCTCTAGCAAGGCGTGCCTATTCCTTCATTCAAGTCCCCATATCACCCTTACTTGCTAAAATCTATATACACCCCTTCACTAACCGTCAAATAAATGTCGTCGAAGATTGCCCTTTTATTATGCATTTTTTTAGCATGTTGTACATTTGCCCCATATGCTACAAATATGGATCGCAAAACAGTCGGCAGATTGACTTTACAAACCCCGAAGAAAACGCCCCTATTGCATTCTGATAGAATGGCCCGAGACGGCCTAACCCACGAGAACCATATAGTCGTTCCACACAACTATTTTTCACGTGATTAGTCCGGCCGTAACCAACGTTTGGCGGATTTGTTTTTTTTTTTCGATGTTTCGTTTTAAAATAAATACAATTTTTGTATTGTAAAAGAGTAGTCCAAAAGGTCACACAAAATAGATTGTTTCGCAAACATCTCAAAATGGCATACAGTACTGTTCAACTGTTATCATCATCCTAATTACAGCTAATTTATTAACGCTGTTTTAAGGAGAGTGGCTGCTATAGTGAGAAATGTGGCCAGGCTAAATGTTGCATTTTCTGGTATTTCTGACCTCGTTTCAGGGCCTACTGGTGGATTTGCACCCCGTACTAATCTGACGAATATCCAGCAGCTTGTTATGGAGCACAACAAGGACCAAACACGCACCATCCCTGCACACCCCTTGGATCCTTCCAGGACATTGGATATTGACCAGTTTTCTGATCTGGAACTCACTCAGAACGTAGAAGGTAATGAGACAACACAAGAACCCATTCGTTTACCGAAGGGGACACGGAATTTAGATAAAGCTAAAACAAAGCCCCTAGACTCTTTAGAAGATATGCTTGACGTTATAGTAACAAAGCTTAGGGTCCTTCTTTCAGGAAGGGCGGGATTTGGCAAGTCTACTCTTTTATTGAGATTTGCAAATGCGAGCACCGATCCCCATTCCGTGATGGCAAAGTTCAAACTTGTGTTCCCGTTAAAGTTGAGCCAAATGCAACAGACGAGTTGCGTCCTTAAGGCCATACTCGACCAGATTTTACCTAATATTGAGAAGGCAGTTTTGAAAAAAGTTATTGAAGAACACGAAGCGGATACAGCTTTCCTATTGGACGGATTGGATGAGATTCCATCCGATGTTCTCAATTCTCCGGCCCCGGATGGTGGCTATGGGATCAAGGATATTTTGTATAACAAGGTGTTGAGACGCAGTACTGTCTTAGTATCAACTCGACCACACATGGTCGACTTTGCCATCAAGGGATACCCACGCTACACTCACATGAAAACATTGGGTTTCACGCTCGACACTGCAAAGAAGTACATAAGTTCTTATTTTGCTCAAAAAGGTGCCGCCAACAATGGGACATTATTAATTTCACAGCTGTCATCCAGCTCATTAATGCGCACATTGGCCCAGATCCCAATCCTTGTACTCTTTCTGTGCATAGTTTGGGATAATCTGTCCAAATTGCCTGATCATTTAACGACACTTTACAAACAGTTTGCTGATGTTCTAGTCAGTCGTTGTTGCAATGAAGGCGAGGATCAGGAGGCGCTGATGAATTCAGTCGCAAAAGGGCTTGGGCGAGTCGCTCTTGATGGGTTACTAGACCCCAATGGGGAAAGGCTCGTATTCTCCTCAGAAGAATTTGATGAGAAAGCCTTGACGGATGGGTGTCGATTGGGTTTCGTTCAAGAAGAAAGTTTCACGAGTGGCTTGACGAAGATGAAGGTAGTAGCTTTTCTTCACAAGTCTATGCAAGAATACTTCGCAGCAGACTACTTTGCCAATTTGCATAACGCAAGCGAAGAGGAGTTTCACGAGAGGTTGAAGCAGATCAATCCATACAACGTCCGTGCAATGGAATATCTGCTTCGGTTTGCATGCGGCATATCATCGGGGTCTCCGGTTACTTGGCTCATTCTGGAGCACGTTCAAAAGCTTGACGAGGTTTCACTGCAGAAACTGCCGCGCCTGCTGTGGTTTGAGTCTGGTCGTGACGAACTGGCTGATAAGCTAGACCGACCAACACAGGCGCAATGTGATAGTCAGGAGGATCTGTTAGCAATGCGCTATTACTTGCAGTGTCTCCGTCAGCCATTAGTAGAACTTAAGCACTTAACCGTCAGCTGCAGATCGCATGAAGAATTGGCGCTTTTGAGGGGAATTGATAGCCAAATGCATGATGAAACTTCAGTTTACATTGATTTAAGTATCACATGTGGATTGCATGAATGCCTGGAGATGCTGGGGAAGATACTACCGATTAATAACATCAGGTCAATCAGCAGATTTCAGGTGTTTGTTTCTTACTACGTGTCGGAAAAGACAGATGAGGAGAGGCACCCGCCCGTGGAGGTGGATGAGAGGCTTCGTGGTCAAATAGAGCTTTCACTGGCGATTGGTGAGAATTCCCACCTTGGTGAGCATGTGTTAGGATCCCTGTCTCGTGTATGCAAGCAGATCATTAAGCAAGTCGCACTGTATGGAACAACGTATAATGACGTCATTAGACTAGCGAATGCACTGGCTGGTTGTGATAGGTTGACAGACGTAGAAGTGCGCAATACCAACCTTCACGGCCATCTGGCTGGTGTAGCCCCTCTTATTTCTCCATCCCTGGGGTTGATGACATTACACTCATGTGGACTGAATGAGGATGACGTCCCTGACCTGATCAGCATCCTCCCTGCCGGGCATGGTTTGGAGGAGCTTGATGTTTGTGGCAATGCATTCAGCACAGTTGGATCGGAGTCTCTTACTGCTCATCTGAGGAATCTACCTAAACTGCACTCTTTTGGGCTTTATTACAACGGTCCCAATGCAGAGTGTATCAGGGAAATGGTCGAGCGAAATCTTCCAAACGTCCGGTCCAGTCATTTTTATTAAATGATACAAAAGATATCATTAATGTGTTGATGTTCTTACCAGTTACATCACCAACATTTCAAATTGGGCAGTTGGGCTATTTCGCTCGAATCTCCAAATTAGAACTGTTGTTGACATCATTGCAGTGACATATTCCTATCATATTTCTGTGTAAATCACAACGTTGGTTGTGATTTAAACGGACACATATTCCGTGAAAATACACGTTGAGATAGGCGGGGATCCCGGGGGTTGAGGTCGAAAACCCCTTCCTGCTCCGTCACCCAAAAACCAAAACAAAAAAATTATAACAATTATTGTAATGATAATTACCCATATATATGTTACCTGTCTGCAAATATAGGATATAAATATAAAAAAACGGTGTCGGGCATAACAACCTCCCCCCGCCAACAAAAATATTCCTGGATCCGCCCCCGTTTAGAAGTATTTCAAATGAAACTAGAAATGTGTTTGTGGACAAACACAAGCTGTTTCGGATATTTGAAATACTCTGTGCACGTGATGAACAATCAGTGACGGCACTATAAATGTCATATATTACAGCACATTATACTATGTACATGTCAAGTCACAACCAAATCGAACATTATAGTTCTGTAGATATAGACCTATAACAGAATAAAATGCCCCTTTAAGGGACTTCACATGACATTTGATGATGATATCACTTCAATTTCCATCTATAACACATCCATGTGAATATGCATACCAAGTTTTAACCCAATCAGACTTGTACTTCCGAAGTTCAGTTTGAAGAAAAACGTGCATCTTTAATGTGATGTAACCTGACACTTCATGACGCCACGATGACGAATTTCTTCTAGGACTATCTAAGGGTAGTGGTCTAAGTGTGTACCACGTATATAGTCGATCAAATTTACGAAAGTGCCAAAGAGGAGCGTTTTAAAACGTGTACAAAACCTATGGGGAAAATGTGCATCTTTAATGTGAAGTAACGTAGCACCTGATGACGTCACGATCACGAATTTCTTCAAGGACCATCTGTGGGTGATGGTCTAAGTGTGTACCAAGTGTAACGTCGATCGGATTTACGAAGATGCCAAACTGGAGTGTTTTAAAACGTGTACAAAACATATGGGGGAAAATGCATCTTTAAGGTGACGTAACCTGACACCTGATGACGTCACGATCACAAATTTCTTCTAGGACCATTTGTGGGTGGTGGTCTAAGTATGTACCAAGTCTGAAATCAATCGGATTAAAAAAAAAGTGGCAAAGTGGACTGGTAGAATAAACGTGTGTTTAACCTATGGAGAAAAAGGCTGAAAAAGGAGAAAAAAATAAGAACCAGGAAAAAAATCTTAACGAAAACAAGAGCTGTTTCGGTGTGTACACCGAAACAGCTAATTACGCGAAGAACATCACGTATCAGACGTTTTTCAGCGGAATTGGCGTAATGGTGAATGCATTAGTGTTAATTACGATGGAATAATAAACAAACTACAGATCAAAAAATTACCCGAGCAAAAATACAGAGGAAAGATAAAAATACAAATGTCATCCAAGATTAAATGTAAGTTTAGTAACTTGGTTCATGGTCTGCCTCTGTCCTCTTGTACCTTATTCATATCCCAGGACTTCGTGAATTCACGCCCCTTGCCTTCCACCTCAGCATGTCTACGAACGGAGCTTGGCATTACAGTGCATGCTTGCCTCTACACAATCGGTACCGGGTTCACATCTTGACAATGTGGAATGACTAAAAATGTATGTAGTGTTACGTACTTCCCTTGCCTTCGATATTATCTTTTCCACGGTTTGAATCCAACCAAGACTTTGTTGTTTTCACTGAATGCTCGTTTTACTCAATCTGGCTATCCGCTTGATCTTTTCTTGTTTCTTGTCTGTATTGGCGAGGTTCACATCCAACTAGGGTTTCTTTGAGGCTTATTGACTCTGAATCGTGGCTGTTGTAATAGATGTGTTGTCTGGACATTTGAGGTGGTGGCCGGGTACTCCCATTGCACAACCATTCGGTTTGATTCCCGTCAAGGTCAAATGCCACAGCTGCATCACGTGGTTTCTGCCAAGAACTGTTCTTTCTCATCCCTCTCTTGCTTCTTAGACTTGAATTTCCTTCCTTATTTTCTCTCAACTCTAACGAGTCACCTGAGGATTGCCAGAGACAAAACGCTGAACATTCCTGAACACATCCAAGGCAACCACATGAAATACATATCATGAAGATTTCAACATTTGTTGGCTTAGTCCCAAAAATCTGTTCAAAATTCCAGCGTACAGCTTTACAACTCATCATTTGCATTTTTCAATCAGACCTTGAACTGTGCTGCGGTCATATTAATAATGACTCACACAGAGCTGTTCTGAGCAAGTGAAACTTTATGACAAATCAATAAAATCTTGCGTAAATATCCACTACATGTATTGTGAAACACAATTGTCAGACATTAATCTATGCTCCGCCTGAAAGAGTAATTAATCAATTGAAACAAGAAGAGTTTTTTGAACACTCATTGAGACATGTCATGTGACGTGTCATGTGACATGCAAGTACAGAACTTAGTTTGAATGTGTATGTAGTCTGGTTTTATGAAACATCTTCAAGACTAAATTTTGCTCTGTTTTATTTGTTGACTGTTCATTCTTAGTAATACGATGTCAAGATTTGTCAATTCCATTGTCTCGAGGTTGATATTCTAAATTATTTTCAATACAGAAACTTACCAATTGAAAGTACAGTATGGTACTATTTCGAAACATTATCGCATTTCATTTTGTTTTTTCCAATATACTTCATTTCTGCAGTACAATAATTGTAAATTTACAAGCATCCAGAGTCTATGTTAGCTGTGATTCGCAACGAATCTACAGTAATCTCTGGATTCCTACTACAGTCGACTCTCGTTAGTACAAACTCTGTTAATACAAAATTATGGTCATAACAAACATACAGCCTTGGTCCCGACTGTGCATTTATGTGCACAATGAATGGGACTGATGTTCCTCTTAATACAAATTCTGATATAACAAACAAATTGGCTAGGTCCGAAAGAGTTTGTATTAACGAGACTCGACTGTATAATACCTCTAATAAGCTACACTTTTATTAACTGTAATATCACAAGGATAGATTAATATGTAAGAAAATTGCACACCATGTATGTTTAATGTATGTAACAGCTAATGCAAACGAAAACTTCAAGCTGTAGTCGAAAATATATTCATGGATTCCAGAGGAAGGTTTGTTTTTGTAACTGTTTCTTTTGTATTTGAATTTAAAAATGAAACCACGGTTTCCACAATTTTTATATGAGACGCTCCACTAATCTAATTGTCAGTTTCGGTAATTATTAGAATGATTTATTTACTTGTACGCTTCTTTGTTAAGAGTATAATATAAATCATTAATATGAAATGAATGTTTTCCGAATTGTCTGCTATTCGTTTTGACCTGGATGCATATATTAAATGATGCAAGGTCATAATCTCTTCCATGTTACTTTTGCAACGTCTATGACTACAACTTTTGGTTGAATTTAACAGAAATTATTTAACCAATTGGTTATAATTATGTTATGTTATGTTTTATTCCACAAATAGAAACAAGCCCCATAACCCCGGGGAAGGGTACAACAGTGAAATTAAACATACAATATTTGGCAGGTGGGTTAACAAAGAATATGCTTTGACATTACGTCATGCTTTGCCTCTTTTTAGGATTTGTACATTGGAAAATAGAATTAGCTACACATATAATAGTATGTATATCTGCCGACGACATCACGAAAATTAATTGGTCATTTTTGTTAAACCATTAAAACCAGGCTCCATTTCACAAATGTCACTGAGTTATGGAACAACCCAATTTTGGGTATAGTTGCAGTTTTTACCATTTCTTGAGTAAAAAAAAAACCAGGCAATTTCTTTCAGTGCATTTCTTAGCACTTGTTGATTTTCCGGATTTAACATCTTTTTTTTGTTTTATATTTGCCTGGAAGAAAAGTTCTCAAATCTTCGACTTCAATGATACTAAAACACTAGCAATTAGGCAATAAATGTGTACATATCAAAACGATTAAGTTTTTTATAATGTTTATCCTGAAATTTAATCTGTATGACAGAAATATTTGTATGGACTTCTTTATTTTGGTAACTTTTGTATAAACTTGCAGCTAAATTATTTCGGACATAGTGAACAAAAATAAATGATATCAGAGATATTTTATATCTTGGTTTGTAATATTTTCTTTGTTAAAACAAAAGACTTATATTATCAAGCCAAAGTTTTCATCGTCAAATATTCTGCTTTACTCCACAGCTTGCTATGACGCATTTCCTGTGTATTTTTGCTCGTGGGTTCTAACCCTTGCTGTTATCTCTGCAAACCTGCTGAAAACGGGGGTGCAATAGTAGGATGTGTCGGTGCAAGTTCAGGTCAATTCTTTCTTTATAAATCCATCGACTTCTATGAAGTTTGACTGTATACCTCCTCCAACCCCCAATGGAGCGATGTCCCCGCCCCCTTATTGCACAGAATACTAAACGTCAGTAGTTGACTTTACACTGCTGCCTGCCTCGTCATGTTTGCAATAGACTACAATAAGAGCGCCCCCATTTCAGCACTGGAACTACATGTATATCGCTCCTTCTTTAAAGACATTATACACAGCAGCCATCTTGGAGGGCAATGCATTTGTTTTGCTGGGATATGCATGAGTCAACCTTTCATGCAGTCATTGCTACTAGATTACAGAGCAAAAGACGCCCTCTCAGATGGCCGCTACGCGTGAGGTCGATTTAAAATATGTTGGGGCTAGAAACAATCAGGCGTTTAATTACAAGGAGCTGTTTGCAGTTGACCCACCTGCTGAAGTGTCAGGAGAAGATTCGTGGCAAGAATTCCTTGAAGGGCTGACTTCTCATCTCGTCATTCATCTAGCAATTTCTTGCCCCTCCTCCAGGGTGAGTTTTTCATTGCGTCCGGCCCGCAAATAAGCGAGGCGTCAAATTTGTGA